GAATTAAATTGGAGAGTAGTTTTTTTTTTTTTTTCTGTTTTTTACAGTTGAAGAAAAGGAGAGTAATTATGAGGCTAAAAAGAGAGTTATTATTATTGTTGTCACACAGCAACAGTCTGAGATGGGTAATGGGTTAAATAGAAACAAAAGAGTAGTACTGAAAACTGAAAACTGAAAAGAAAGAAAAAAGAAAATGAGAGTGGTTTCTGAGCTTATGAGAAGGGTGGGGTTTATCGAGGCACGTCTTTTATTTGTGCTGCATGGGTAATATGTAAAGTGGGTACTAAAAGAACAACGACAACAACAATAAAAAATGACAAATGGTAAATGGTAAAAGACGGCTGTGAAAAAGGCCTGGCTACTGCAAAACATAAGTCTGCAAGAACCCATTTGGCAAAGTTTGAGGCTTTTGGATTTCATCGAATTTTGGTGGGATTTTTCAGATCTTTGGAGGGTTTTCTCTGCCTTTTTGTTTTGTTTTTAAATTCTTTTGGGTTTTTTTTTTTTTTCTCTTTTTTTGTTTTTGGGTTTTTGAATTTTTGGGTGTTTGGAGAGAGAGGTGTTGTTGCAGGAGGGCAGACTGCAGAGAGGGAAGGAGCGAAAAGCACGATGGGGAAGTACTCAGACCGCACGTGACCGCTGCGTAGGAAAGAGGGAAAACATAATTTTGGTTTTAGAGAGAGAGAGACAGAGAAACAGAGAGGAATGGACGACTTAGCCCTGATTTTGAGAATAACTCGGTTAATTATTATTATTATTATTATTATTATTATTTCACATGAGAATGAATTGCCTTGGCCAGCAAATCCTTTTTCACCTTTTTGTCTTCTCTAGTAGAAAAGAATAACAACAAAAGTGGCCAACTGGGGGTGTTTTGAATTCGCTTGTTAATCAAATTGAGAAAAAGGAGTCCATTTAAGAATCCAACAGGGAGAGAATAATGAGAATTATATATATATATATATATTTGACTGAAATGTAATAACAATATTTAAATTTTGGATCCATATTAGTAGAAGAACTACAATGAAAGAAAAGTCAAAACATTC